TTTTTTTTTTTTACCTTAAATTCTTGCTTTATTTTTATTTTACAACTGCTACAAAAATCAAAATTGTGCTAAGAGGTTACTTTATTGCTTATATTGAATAGCTATTTCTCATTTTAATCCATACAGAAAAACTGTCAAGAAACAAGCCTTGAGTTTGCTACATTTTCATCTCTGCTTGGGGAACAGAACAAAAAATATTGCCCACACTGGAAGTCTAAATGTGACTCATGAAAAAACATTTTTTTCAGAGACCAGTTCCCATACCTTTGAAACACACAAAAGAAATTATTCCAGTGTTGTTGAAATTTGAAAAGTAATTGTAACTTAATAAGCAAGCCCAGATGTGGGGAAAATTAACATCTAGAATATTGCTTTTCAATGAAACCTACAAACACTCATTGTTTACTTTTAGTACAAATATATTTAATTTGTCAATTCATCCATACTGAATTACTTTTTCCAGTTGATGGAGGTACTTCAACAGCAAACATCAACATTAATGTCTACAACATATTATACAATTAGCAGATTTAATCTGTTTTAATAATCACTAAAGACAACAATGATGAGTATCAGTGAACATTTATTAAACAAGGTTTATAATTCTAGAAACAGCAAATTTTACAGCTGGAAAAACTGCTGAGTGAAAAAGAATATCCAGTATCCAGCCCAAATAAGCCAATAAGTTTTCTGGAGAAATCTACCACCACTTAAATCAACTGGAAACTAGGAATTTTTACCCACATATATTTGTGAGGCATTATGTTTTATGATCACAAAAAAATACACTGCATTCTTTGCAGACGTGATTTTGTGATATGCAACTTTTAAAAGTTGGCCAGGTAATAAAGTTTAAGATGCCCTTGCAAAAGAAGGGGGGGGTTTTTTTAAGGAAAGAAAAAAAGATAAATCAAATCAAGAGCATTTGATTGAGCTACTACTTTCCTCATGTCCTGTGATGGGTGAGACTTTCCTACAGAGACAGTGCATCAAAGAGGCAAACACTATCACATCTAACACACAACGGTTATGTTTCCATGCCTTTAAGAACATTTCTTGGTCAAACAATGGAGGAAAATAAAAAAGTTAATATACAGTTAATGCATCTCAGCACATGTAATGCTTACTCCAAATAGACATGATGTGCTGTTTCAGCAGTGTTTTCATACAAAGGCTTAAGAATTCTTACATGCCAGAAGAGCAATACATCATCAGTTGTTGACAACGCAGAGGACAGAACTATCTTTTATTACCTATTCAATGATGAGACACTTCAACCCAAAACTTAACCTAGAAATAGCCAGATCCATTTATCCCAGCTCAGTCCTGACAGCAAGGAAAACCAACATGTTCCTATTTTGGTTACCTACATATATTTCTTAAAACTCTTTCTTTTTGGACAAACTCAATGAAAATTTCTGCTACTAAATGATCTCCAAGCTGTCTTTGCTCTTTAGTGTTTCTACCCCACTGAACCTGTGACTCGTGCTGTTTATGATCCTGAGCAGATCTGACTTTAGAATCCTGTAAGTCCCGTAACACTTGCTCTGCAACTTAAAAAAAAAAAAAAAAAAAAAAACACACCTCTTCAGACTATATTTCCTAGAATTAAACAACCAAGGCCACAGATCCAAATGGCCTAAAAATGAGAACAAAGGATGTGTGTTACTGCCAATTTTCCCCAAAGCCCATCACTAAGTCACAAACGTACGTCAGTTGCATCCAGGAGGTATGTCTCCCACCCCATCACACTCACAGTCCTCATCTTCTAGACAGGTGCTCTTCAGACACACTCAGAATCCCAAGCGCCCATCAAGGGCTTTGATTAGCTCACATCAATTACACATTAGAAGTCCCCAGAAGTGTATTACCAAGAACACAAAACCTCTTTTTCTATATACTATCACTGTGGGCTTTTAGTTGTAAAATAGTTGTAAAAATATTATTAGTATTAGTTGTAAAATAAAATGCATCATAAACTGAAGAAATAAAGTTTATCTTCTACAGATATGAACCAGCACTAGGTTCAAAAGACAACGTGAAACAAGTGTAATTGTTTGACCAGACTATAGCACACCTAGTCCATGCATGAGATAGTTGCAAATACCTCACAAAATCAAAAAATTGACAACCAAGAAAAATACAGAAAATCTGTCTTTAACCTGGTAAGATTTCACAAGATCTAATGAAAAACTTTTCAACTCATTGGACTACATTTGCAGATGGACCCAGATTTCCAATTATCACTTAAATACAACCACATTAAAGGGTGCTTTGTTGGGTTTTTTTGGTGACTCTGGAAGCTGCCGATGGAAAGGCTTTCTTTTGGCAATGTACACTATAAGACAGCCCTCGTGAAGAGTACACAAGATGTTCCTTCCTTAATTTTGAGGATGAACAGCTTTTACACGCATTTCTGTCTACAAATCCTGTTTTAATTGAAAGCATCCCATTACACTTTTTCAAGACAATACTTTCTAATCTCTCCTAATCAGCTGCAACTTACTTCCTTGCCTGATGATTTATCCTGGTTTATTTCTACCCCCAAATACATAGCTCTTCATTTCTGTGGGTGAATTTCATGTTCTAAGCCAATGAGGAAATAAAAGCAGGCCACTGCCAGATTGCATACAGGATTCTCTACAGAGCTCTCCAAATTACGCTGGGGTTTTGTTGCATATACAAAGTCTATTCACGGAAAAGGAGCTATCAAATTTGAAAAGGAACTACAAAACCTAATTTATTAGAAAACAACTCTTGAGCGCTGTAGTTCTCCTGCTCTTATAATGTCCCCCAGTACATCACATGCCTCAGAATACTAAAAAGCACAGACCCTTAGGAGTTGCTTATCCTAATTATCACATAGCACGTGGTTTATTTAAATGCCTGAACAGTAAGCAAATACGTGATTAAATACCAGGCTTTCAGGTTTAGGCAAGCCAAAATGACATAGGTCCTTACCTCCAGGATCTTTATCTGGATTGTACTCCAATGCATTGCTACAGATCAGGTCAATATCTGTCAGGAAATCCTTGGCTGTTAAGTAGTTGTGTTTATCAATTTTGGTTATTACTGTTGACAGGTCCATTGGCTCTTTGATAACTTCAAGGTAATCTGAAACCTATAAACAAACAGCATATAGAAATGACACAGGACCATACACATTCCATTCGAACACTGCCAATTTCACATCTTTATATTCTTACTTATTCCACATGCTTAGCTCCAATACATTAACTAAACATTTTGATTTCTAAACAAATTTATGTTGAAAACAGAAGTTTTAGCAGACTAAATAAAACACAGGACTTCCAAAGCTGCTACTTCTTCAGCAGCTCACCAATTTGTCTTTCTAAATCAATTTAATTATATTTTTGAGGCAAAATACTTGAACTTAAATGTATTTTTAACTTTATTTAGACTGATTTTTTCTGTATAGTGTTACAACACTATTGAGTTAGGCAAAAATAATAAGCCTAACTCAAAACCCTCGGAAAAACTAGGGAAGCTATATTTTGTTCACCTTGTAGGTAAAGTTCTCATTGAACTGAACAGTCACATTATCAGTTTTTAAGTATCTTCTGTTGAATAGTTCCTTCAATCACTCAAACAAAAAAAACCAGGTTTTATTGACTGAAGACATGAGACTGTATGGGAGGGCAGTCTAAAGAGAAAGCCCTGTGTCAGAGTTCACTGCTGACTATGAGCTTAGCTCCTAACTAGAGATTTATCAACCACTAGGGTACACTAAAATGTATTTAACGTAATTAATGGTACCATAAGGGGCTCAAGCTTGATAGTCAAATGCATCAGCACAGCTGCTGTACCAAAGTTCGCAAAAAAAAAAAAAAAAAAAAAAAAAACTGTGAATTTGTTATTTACTTAAAAAAAAGCCTATACTTAAATGTTTCAGTGTGATTAAGATCATAATCAACTAAAAATACTGACAGCCTCAGAAACAGTATTGAGTTTTTTCTTTTGAAATCGCCCACATATTATGGTGGCTGCCAAAATACTGAAGAGTTAAATACATATTCAGATCAAGCCATAACGGCTCCATAATAATTTTTTTTAATAAAGTATCTGTAGACATTCACACAAAAATATATTATATACTAACATTAATGCATTACTTCAGTGGACAGCAGTCTACCACCTAACTCCTTAAATATACACATTGAATTTATGAGGAAAAATTAAAATGGCAAAAATTCTATTTTTGTCACCCCCTATGGAACCACAATGATAATTGGTTCAGTGATAGGAAAGCCAAGCCATGGGCTTCCTATTCTTGTTAGCACATCATCAGAAAGAATTTTCAATGGAAACTAGGAAAATCCTTGACCTGTCACGAGGCAACACAAGCAGGAGTGGAATGAACTTAACACATTTTCTCAGAAAATCAGACACGCAAGCTCTTGTAGAAAAGCAAAGGCTAGTCCTGTGCCTAAACGCACCAGGTGGGACAAAAAGCATTACATTTAATTTTTAGTGCTGTGATATATTTTTGGAACGTCTTGTAAACAACAAGTTCACATTTCGATTCTCCATTTACAAAACAAGGAAGATAATTTATTCTCTTCGTGTGCCCTTATTCATGTAAGTTTAAATAGCCAGTTCTTTGGAGGAAGAAATTGCCTTTACCACGAGTACAAAGAGCTTCCAACAATAAGGGACCTCCCAAGCAGTTTCATTAAAAAATAAAATAAAATAAAAAAAACAAAGTTACTGCTCAGACCATCCTCACACTGTAAGTTGCCACGTTAAAGAGATCTTGTCAGTCTTTCAAAAACAGCCAGCTACAGAACATTATGGAAAGCTCAAATTAAGTGAGGACTGCATGAGCCCATAAGAAATGCCAGTTCCACCCTGTACGGAATTTACACTGCAAGCCTGCTTACTATAATCCTGTATTTTTAATGTCCCATATTCATCTCTTAATGTCTTCCAAAAGACATGCTTCTCTTCAGAAGGAACTAAGCACTTTTTTTTTTAATTAGGAAACATGCAACGCTTGCAGTGGGCCAGCATTTGATCTCAAAGTCAGGCTGCACACAGTCCTATTCACATAGCAGCACCTGAAAATAGATTTGCAGATCGAACTGTCTCATCAGTTAGTTGTGCACACTCCATAATCGACCCGTTAATGCTTTATAATGTGCTACCCTCTGTGATTAATGGCATCCACAAGCATTACTGCTGGAATTATTCAACAATACTATTAATGCTGAATACATTACAGAACACAGATCACTTTCCCAATATTATCATGCCTATGATTATAATGTTGTAAAAGCTTTTATTAAAGAATTATATTTATGGTTTCAAATATTTCAAGAGTACTGGTAGGGACAGGCGTTGACAGCATTTTTAAATGCTGATTTCAGTTATAAAATTGACAGGAATGCACCAGGTTTTTCAATAGGTCACTGGCATAGCCAAAGAACATGTTCCAACAACTTGCACAGCAGGTTATGAGGCTTTGACTGTCTCACCAGCTGATAAACAGCGTTTTAGATTGGAAAGATCATGGATCAAACATCTGCTTTTCCTACTAATTCACCAATTTCCTTTTTAAAAATTTATATTCTTTTGGTAATAGTTTCAACTTCATTGTTTGCACATTACTGAAACAAGACCTCTTCAATATCCACCGGTTTGCTGAAGATGTTAAAGCGTTTGTCTGTGGCCAGCCTCTTGGTAACGTCCCTGAGAAACAACCGCAGCTCTCTCAGTGTGTTCTCTTCCTGGTCCTCCATTCGCTGCTTTTCTGCTTCTGACAGTTCACGAGCAGGACATGGCAGTGCAAGAGGAAGAACTTCCAGAGCACGAAGAGCTAGGGAAAAAAAACAAGAAGTCAGACAATGGAAATATTAGCAACACAGTGGCTCTTGGGATTATGCCACTCCAAATTTCATCATATATTTAATCTGCCTTATTAATCTAATTATCACTGCATCCTTAGCCCCACAGCTTTCCATTTTCCAAAACTGGTAACTGTAATGCACAACATTTATTCTGGGCACTGTTTAACACTGACAAATGTTAATTACGCTAACTGTCATTTACCCACACCTTGTGAAAAAGGAAAATATCACAAAAGAAAACATTCAGGTCACATAATTATTGGTTTTATGGTGACTTAGTTTACCAGCCTGTTTCCTTCTTGGTGGTGGCATCGCTGCCTCATCAAGAATTAACCCTTTGAAAAATCGCCATCTGTCTTCTTCACTTGGTCTTTGAATATAAAAAACCTCTTCATACTGGATTCTGAAAATACATTTTACCTAAAAAAAAAAAAAAAAGACATGAAAATTGAGCCTCTGCTCAACAATATATGATTAATGACCATATTAAAGCACTAGTCACAAACTTTTCAAAATTAGCCACAAGAGAGAAGATAGTGAACTCCACACAAAGCTGTGTACACAGCCTAGGGAAAACAAACACTTGTAATTCTCACTGGATTTTCTGTAATAGCTAAACTTGTAGTATCCCATGAGCCTAACAACTGCCACCTCTGCAGTGAAAAGAAGAGAAAGAGCAGAAGAAAAAAAAAAATCTAAGAATATGTTGAGGAAAAAAATAGGAACTCCCCTCCCCGAACCCTCAACCTTGGAATTTTTAAAGCTAAATGTCAGGCCTTTAGACTAAATCTGCATTTAATCACACTAATTTGTTAAAATGAACAACTGTCAAAATGAACAATTACAAACATTTAATTAATATTACATTTTCAAACTGACATATTTCAAATTAAGTCAGAAAACCAGTGCAAAAGAGAATGTTTTTATATGATCAAAACATTTTGAAGAGCACATAACCTCCCCAACAATGCCTCCTTCCACAAGAAACTCACCTCTTCAGGCAATTCACTGTACATGGACTCAGAGGTAGACAGTAGAAATATAGGGGAGAAAGATGGTATATCTTGCAGCAAAGTTAGAAAAGTAGCTCTCACAGTTTCACTGACAGCTTCCCACCAATCACCAATATGAGGCATGTAAACAATACTTGGTACTGTTCTTCGAGCTTCACGAAAGATCTAATTAAAAGAAAGAGTGGTATTTAAACTAAGAAAATCTTTGTTACTATCATTTGTGAGTAATAAAATTATTGTGGAACAGGAAATGACTCATGTTTGTGGTACTTTCTACACAAATGTCCCAGTAAAATAAAATTATCTAATGATAAAGGCTTCCTAAACAAGTTGTTGTGACCGTTAGCTGTATCATTCAATCATTTCATGTCTATGTGCTAGGGAAACTACAAAGCAACCACTTTTCATGTTATGTTTTAAAAACTTGTTAAGACTGAACAATCAAGACGAAAATTAAACTGGTTTGCAATCCATGCAAAATCCACCACAAACTGTTTTGAAACCTAAAACATTTAAAACCAAGTAATTGAACCTAGAACCACAGCACACCAATTCATACACAAGCTAATAAAAATGAAAATCACGAACCAAACATCCAGATTCAGCTTACTTAACATTAGGTATGTGACTGAGGGGGCAAGTTAAAAACATAATTACTCTCACTAGTCAGCAGAGAGATCTCAGTCACCCTCTAGAGACCCCTTTCTTTTAAACATGAAAATAGAAGGAGCCTATGGAAACCTGGCTTTTAAGTTACATTCCACTTAGCTGCCTTTATATTGATGCAACTAATATGTTTGAGAATTACAGAGTTTATTCATTACAAGAGAATCAGAAATGTCACCTGTGCACACGATTCCTCAGGCGTTTTGGCACTGACTGAATAAAGTGCTGGCAGATCTAGCCTGTGTACAGAGAATTTTTCAAGAGTGTGCAATAGTGCTGGAGCAAGGTGCGAAGTCTGACCCGAACCTCTCTCTCCAGATAGCAGTAATCTTGGTCTGTAAGAGGTTGGCTGGTGATAAGCTGACCTGCAACAGAGGAACAGTTACAAAATACAGTTAACATGCCAATATTATCAATGGATGGATATATATAAAATATTTTAAAATCCAAAAGACTTTCAGTAAAGGGTAATAGTTTCCTGCAGTAGCCGCAAAATATTCAACTAACTCTACTATACCTCAACATTACTCCACGTCTCAATACCTCAAGCTTTGTCTATTCTTGGATTTCACAACAATTTAATTCAAACTCATCTGTGCAAAGCTATGCACACATAAAATTCATGAAAATTTTGATTACAACCAGCTTATTTAAAACCAATTCTTGGTCATATGAACCGACATAATGGGCTTCCTGTGAAGGTATCTATTTAATCATGTCATCAATCAGCTTGGGCAGTGAAACAAGACTGGCCAGTTTCACTTCAGGATACATATTTTGTGACAGCTACGAACGTTGCTGACCTTTGGCTTTCCAGTTCTGGTGGTGGAGATTACACACACACCTGGCAATCAAAAATGCTCAGAAAGATAGATTAAGGAAGGCCTACATACTTTACAAAAATAAACACACTCTTTGAGATTATTTTATTTAGACACACATCCACACAGATACATATTGTTGTTACGGTTTCGTGTTCCCCCTCCTGCCCTCACAACAGAAGTTTAATTTTTGCATTAAAATACTTGACTATGTACCTCAAACTATTTGAACTTAAATCCTAATTTTTAATCTTAAATGCTGTTCTGGCATCATTCTTTAGCACTAAAAATTTAGCAGTTTTCCACAAGATGGCTCTGCTAAACAGTACTACTACTGAATAGTTTTCCTAACCTCATTTTCTTTACTTACCAAACTCCCTGCAGAACCCATCACACAAAGTAGTCTAAAACTATACTTAATACAAAACAAATAAATATTAGTTTATTACTGCTAGTTACTGTAGCCAGCCCAGTTCATAAAGGAAAGACTCATCCAAATTTCACACACTTTCTAAATTCCCATTTTCCCAAAGCTTTCCATGAAAAACAATGAAAAAAAGAGGTTAGAAATGCTGAATGCATCGATTATATAATGTATCCAAACAGCTGCATACACTGAAGCTCAACAATACTTTGGATCAAGAAAAAGCAAACAATTCCTCCAAAACATTCCTACATACCTCTCTTCCCAGTCTTCATCTTCCAAATCAAAATGTCTTGTTACAATTAAGAACTGCTGTTAACATCCCTACTTCTAAGCTACATCTGTCTGTTGCAAAATATTTCTGATGACTGTTATCTAGGATCTGGCCTTTCCGAAGACCATTCACATACCAAAATCTCTTGTCTGTACACTTGGGTATTGCAGAACACCATTACCACCACAAGGCAAAAGACCATCTTTGTTACCTCTCCTGATGTAAGAATTTCATGGTTTTATCTGTCTGGTTATATGCATTTAGAGAAAAAACACTCACATTGTAAAATGAAGGTAGGGTTTATGTATAGCAGCTGATGACTGTTTCTTTGGTGATCCTGAGGGACAGCTCGTCTCAAAAATTGATGAAGCATTCTCATCTTCACTATCATCTAATATTAGACTTGGTACATCTGTTCCAATAAATATATTAATTAGAACCTTATCACTTCTAAGTACATGCACAACAAACAAGAAAAGACATTATAATTTTCTTCATGCAAATTATAACACATTTTCAAATGTGGAAAAAATGATTTTAAATTGTCTAAGTATCAGAACAGAGAATAATAAGTACTTACTGCTTCAAAAAACAAAACTGTAGAAGTCTAATCATAATTACAATTTATTTTTTTAAACCATCAAGCAGAACAACTTCACAAGTACAACAAATGTTTAACTTGTTATGAAATGCTTCCTCTGGTTTTATTTCACAGCTAGAGTTTTTTCAAGGACCAAGTTATAAAATCTGTAGCTCCTCAGACTACACAGAATTTTGTACTTATTTGTTTATTCTAAGTGCTCAAATTTTTACAGGTACAATTCTTCCAAAATTATTCTCAGCACAACTACCTAGACAACGTAGAATTGTTTTCCACCCACTGATAATCTGACAAAGAATATCAGTTCAATTCATTCCATGTTCATATACTTCACCTCAGCCTATTTTAATTCCTTTGCTAATATAGCAGCATAATGAACTGAAGTACCTTCTATACAGACCTTCAAAAACAAAAAGCTAAAAGACTAATTACATTCAAAAGACAGACTTCAGGGACAAACAACTGCAAAAATACAAATACGTCACTAAACCAAAACAACTCATTGACAGTTGAAAATCACAGCTCAATCAACTACGAGAGCTGCAATGGAATTAAGAGCAGACTGCCATGATTTGAAAATGGGAAACAAACTGCTGCAAGCTCTTTATTTGCTCCAGGAAAGGGTTCACTTCATGTCACCCTAAGCAAGCCACTCAGTCTCATTCCCATGGAGAGATGAATCTGCAAGGACAGGATGAAAACGTTCACAGCCACCCAGCCGCACAGCAAGAGCAGTGCAGCGGCCAGGTCTCCCGTGGAACAAAATGCTCCGTGATGGATGGGCAGCATTTCTGAGAGCAGACCAGAGTCACTGCAGCACACTGCTGTTCAGGGCAACCACTGCACATCCCAGCAGTAGCACAAGCCAGCCACAGTGACTCAGAAAAATGGACTGCTGTGAAAGTGATATGAATGTTATTCTCAAATATATGGCCCGCCACGCGATTTGCCTGATTTACATGAAGCCATGGCACAGGTCCTGCTACACTGATCAAACCACCGCCATGGAACAAAGGCATCAACTTCCAAGGCAGTGTGAAGTGTTGGACAGAAACATCACCTAAGGGTTATGCATCTAGCCATATGGTCCCAGTAAGAACTGTTCAGAGACCTCAAAGGTTCCCATAGCTGGCTGTGTGATGTAAGAAACTGGATTCTGAGGAGGATGGGCAGGAATAATATTCTGCTGGTACAGGATGAGGACGTGCCACATCCCTTGGCAAGGCAGGATGCAGCCACACACCTGACAATCGTTCTTCTGGGGGCAAAGATAAAAAGGGCTTGCAGACCCCAGTCAGTGGCCAAATCTACTCCATAGCAAGAAAAAGCAGATCAGAAACGGCTGAGCATTTAGCTCTTGGCAAGGATAGAGTTTTTCCTAACTCTTAGCTCCCTACAGTCTCTGAACAGGCAGAATTTTTGCCATAGCAAATGTAGACCCATGCAGTACATTCTACACTCAGGCACTGGACACAGCTTTTGCTTCCTAAAATATGTCATAAAGGCAGCCCATCATTTCATCCAGCACATCAAGCCTCTGTGACATCCTTTACTTGAGTGTCTGATTCACTGAATTACAAGAGACAAGAATCATTAGTGAACTGAAAAGACATGCAGAAAACTAGATTTGTAGATTGTAAGGACACCAGTAATCATCTGCCATACACCTGGCTCTGAATTCAAGAAAAGCTGAAGCCCTAGTGTGTGATCTATATTTACATTTAAAAATCATTATATGTTAAAGTGGATTTTGCTGGTTTTAACACAGTTGAGCTTATTCAATATTTTCTGGGATTTAAGGGGGTAAGAAGAAAAACTAAGGTACAGAGGAAACTTCAAAAGAAACCTTAGTTCTTATACCTTCAAAAATCAATTATCTACAAGCATTTAAGAGTAGCCACAGCAGCAGAATTATCTAGTAAAACTACTATCTAACTCAATGCATGCTTCCAAACTCACTTTGTTAGCTATAATGAGCAGAAATAAATAGGAATGTAAAGAATGCAACCAAAGAAAATATTCTGAACTAGAACTTTACAACAAAGACAGGGATACCTAATTCAATTCTTCAACAACCATTGCAATCTCTGCATTAGGCATTACCAACAAGTTAACAGTATACAGGGAGACTTAAGCATCTTAAAACAACTTTCATTACAAAAGCCTAATAAGATCGAGGGAGCCTAATGTGACCTAAATGCAGCTGCAAGCCAGCTCACCTCCCCCTGCCCACCACCACATGCTCCCAGGCCCCATCTCATGCCAACTCCAACACTTGTTAAAACCTCCAGCTATCCCACAGTCAGCAGAAAACTAACCTGACAAAAATATACCATTTTTGGATGAGTTTGTTTGCCAAAATGGTTTAACAAAGGACCTGACATACTAAAGTAAGAGCAAGGAATAAGGCAAAAAATGCACAGCTGGGCTGGAGGGACTGCAGCAGCCAGCACAAGGATCAGCTTAAGCTGCCTGGGCTGCAGTCTGACAGTGTGCTCTGGAATAGGAATGAACATGAAGTCATGGCTGTCACAGATTTGTTTTATGACTGGGCTACTTTCAAGTTAATCCCACACAATCAAAAGTACTGTTTACATGGTTGGGGGGAGGGTGATCCCAGAGAAGAACAGTAAAAGATAGTATGCCAGAATAAGTAGGTATCAAAACCAACATATCATGTTCAACATTTAACTTCCAAGAAATGACCAGTGTAACTATTAAAGTAAGTCTCAGAGTACAGCTGGGAAAAAAAAAAAGTAAACCTATTGACTCACTGCCAGTCAAAACAGTCAGTCACATTCCTTCTTATTCCCTCTTTCCTCAAGGCACTCAAATTCCTCCCATTGCAGCAGGGTTCTGGCATACATCTGACCCCTCAGTGAGTTGATTTTACTCATTTGGCAAAAAGCTAACTTGACAAAACAGCAAACAGTTCTCCACTTGCTAAGCTAGCAGAATCAACTCAGAGGATCAGGAGTACATCAGGCCAGGTCAAGGGGAGGAAAGCCTCTAGGACTAGGTCAGACATAAGGAAGAATTTTTTTCCCTGTGAGGGTGGTGAGGCAGTGGCCCAGGTTGCCCAGAGAAGCTGTGGATACCCCATCCCTGGAGGGGTTCAAGGCCAGGCTGGATGAGGCTTTGAGCAACCTGGGCTAGTGGGAGGTGTCCCTGCCCATGGCAGGGGGGTTGGAACCAGATGATCTCTAAGGTCCCTTACAACCCAAAGCATTTTAAGATTTCATGATTCTCCTTAACCAGCAGGTGACCATTACAAAGGCTCAGGTATCGCAGGTAACCACGGTCTCACCTGCTGAGCTGAGAGCTCGCCACAGCACTCCTTTGCAGCCTGCTTCTGCACCATTAACAAGCAAAGGACTGGGGACAGCTAACTGACACTCAGGACAGGAGCACCAATTTCAGGTCCTAACACACTGAGCAATATTATCTCACTGTTTTCTTTTGTTCTGACATATGATTATGCCCCATTATTTCTCATACTTAAACTGCAAACTACTTGTGGGTTCTCCTGTTTTCAGGTGGCACTCACACCTATGGGATCTTGGTGTACATAGATGAGTTTATTAAATTCCACAGCAACTTGGAATCAGCAAAAGTAACTATGCAACATCCAAGGGAATTGTACTTACACACTAACAACACTGAACCAAATACACATCAGGTTTAAGGCTAGCAATACAAGAAAGCCAGTTGAAATATTTCCAAATAGAAAAAGCTTCCGCAAAAATAACCCAAACCACATACCTTCACTTTTGTCACCCTGGCTAAATTCAGCATGAGGAAACACTTTGTGTAAAACCTCAAGAAGGTTAGTGAAGGTACGTTCCAACAGCGGCCTGATCACAGGAGATAATGCATGTCCTGAAGATGTCACGGCACGTTGGGAAGCAGGCACAATATTCTGCATTGCATGATAAAAATCCTGTGCGCTGAGAACTACTGAAGAAACATCAAGCTGTAGTTTCTGACTGCTCACGTAAATCTGAGGATAGCGTCGTCTCAGGGCAATCAAGGCAGCCTCAGTGCAAAGTGCTTTTATGTCAGCTCCACAGTACCCTAGTGCACACAAAACCAAAAATTTCTTCCATGAAATAGCATTGCTTTGCTACACACATTTCAAACATCCCTAGAGCTAAAAACAATCACTAATACTTCATTGTCAAGGTCCACAAATCATTGCCAAAAGGTATCAGGTCACAATCCAGTGACAGTGTCGTGTACCAAGAAATTATGTACAGGAATACTGAAATATAATAAGACATTAATTCTACATTGAGGTTAAAATGATCTAAGTTTTCACCACGTAGCATGATATATCGTGTAATATCAGCCCAGGGCTATAGGTCTGTTATCACTCTTTCTTTTTCCTTAATATTGTCTAAAGTACGTGTGCAACGTTAACAGGCTAACTCCTCTCCTCCTTTTTTACTTTAATATCTCTACATTAATATTTCTTTAATAGCAACGTAATTTTGTTGTACTGGATGAACACCGCCAACTTTAAACTTTTACAGACTGAGAAAACGAGCAGCATAAAGAAAAACGTTTCATGAGTATAATATGGAAGAGATGAAATCTCTTGTTAAAAAAGCATACAGTGAACTCTTGGAAAAATGTGAACTTTTATTATCAAGAAAATTGTTTTAGACTTTTTAGAGTTCCACAATTTTACTAATATAATCAAAAGAACAGAAAAACTATTAAAAAGCATTAAAAATTAAATTTAGCCTAGCTTCGTAAATATCTACAGGTGGCTACCTATAATTGCTTAATCATCCTTACTGAAGAACACTGATAATTATGAAATACTGAGAGACTTAATACCTCTGTGTCTGTTGCAGTACTAATGGTTTGGGGTTTTTCCCCAGAGCTAGAAATTAGATTTCAAATTTTTCCATCTCTCTTAGCAAGAGACATTAATATGCCACTGTATTTTGTAGCACCACAGCCCCATCTTTCAAGAAATGTAAAACATTATTCCAGTGGGAAAACTCCTTCAGAGAATTATAGTCACTGTAGGAAAACGTACTGCACTGAAGTGTGGCCATATAAAAGTTCATGGTTTTGCAACAGAGTGTTTACAGAAGCTAATTAATCAATTCTTTAGTTCAATTATTTAAATTTTATTCAACCAGACTTCCTCGTCCCCACCAGGTGTCACACCATTTGCACTTTTTCTACTCTATTTTTGTATTTGTCTTTTGGCAGCATCAAGTCCCAAAACTGAAGCCTGCCTTGTTTCTCTCTCCTTATCTCAGTGATGCTGGCACACACATTTTTCCAAGATCCATACAGCGACAAGGAACAAAGCTGATTCCACACGCAGTGTTGAAAAATAAGAAAAAGGAAACAATTAACATGGAAGATAGACAATTTTCCATCCCCATCTTTCAGGTATATATATTTGAGGGATAATAATAAAAGATACTGATTTTTCAGCTATGGAAGTGACTTAAATCAGCTGAGACTTTGAATTCCACCTGAGTTTCTCGTGTACACTTGAAAATCATTTTTAAAAAGCAAAAAAAAAAAATACCAGCTGGAAGATCACCAAAAATATCAGACTCCTTCTGCAACTTTTAAACTAAGATTTACAATTTTATAAAAAGGTTAGTAGCTGTAATTCTGTAAACCTGATGAGCACACAGTAACTGTTAACTAAAAGGTATACAGCCATTCACATTCACAAGTTACCTTGAAATAAATACACAACATAAGAAATACATTCAAATACATCCACTGTATTAATCAATAGGTAACTAATTATTTGCAGCACTAAGGTTTTGTTTGTTTGTTTTTTAACTAACTCACATCTTGAAATAAACACCGTGCAGGCACGCTCCCTCAACCTTGTGAGCCCATTACAATAGCTACAGGTGTATCACAGAAATCAAAACCAAGTTTTTTCCTCTAAATTCTGTTTTTTTCTTTCAACATCAGGTATCACATTCCCATTTAAATTGGTCCATTTCTCCTCTAACGACCTTATTGGATTAAACAAAAAATTTTGGGGGGCACTAAACCACATCTTAAATCAAAGATGTGCTGCAGATACATAGCACCACGAATGCCTGTCACCTTAAGAACTAGTTTAGCATCTTCACGACAAAAGATTCAGCAGCTCAGGAGCTATATCCTTTCCAATTTTTCTACTAATAAACGCTGTAATATCACTTTCCACCAGTCATTTTAATCACTGCTTGTACATCTCCAAAGAATTGCAGAATTAGGAAATAATAGCTTGTAGCCTATTTTTAAAATCAAATTCTCAGGTGATCAGATACACAATTGGTCTCCATTTCTACTTTTCATTTCTCAGGAGCAATTACATTTGAAGTCTAATAATTGGTGTCTCTTTTTGAGGAACTCTCTTGTGCATACTATACATCCATTTCAGTGATAGGAAAACGGAAAAATCCTGAATCCTGTGAAACATGAAAGAGGTTTTTTTACTTCTAATAAGTAAAATGCACACTGATTAAGAGGAACAAAAACGTAAGCATAGTCAAAGTAAAATAAAATGTAACATACCAACAATAAATAAACTGAATCTGGTTTTGCCCAAATTGACGCTATAATATCAAACCAAGGTTCAGTGCATTTGCGTCCATTTCTGAGGCATCTCGCAAAGGATGTTTGGTTTGGCAGGCAAAAGGTACTGGCACACCTTAACTTAGCACAAAAGGAGTATTCTTGTCAAGCAGCCTATTTTGTTCTACCCATCACCACCACACACTCTGATAAACATTTTCGAAGTACAACTTTCAAAGAGCAGCACAGCAAACAAGTGGATTCCCATGTAGGTTTCCAAAAAACACATTTTGATCGCTGAAATTTTAAAACTATACTTTTCTAACTCTACTGTGCAGGAATTACATCCTCTTTAAAATTTCTTCTGCCTAACATCCAGCCCAAAAACCTATAATAATAAAACAGCTGCCAGACTGGGTGAAACTTTTAGGTGAAAAATCTTGCACAAAACAAATTGGAAGAAGTGGTCAACTCCCTACAACTCCTAAAATGGACTGCAGGGAAAGGGAGGTAGAGAACAGCTCAGCGTGATGACAGAAATGAAAAATAACTACTATGTTTTTTTAAAAAATTGTGAAAAACATTAACACTAATGTCAAAACATTAGGATGGGAAAGAAACACCTAACAAGATACCATTTCGCCACAAAATGTTCCTGCAATAATAAGCACAGAATAAAGTATTTTTAACAAGCACCTTGAACGTGATGCTTTGCTTCTTCACAATTCTATTTAACATTATTTAAATAACTCACTACATTGTAAGAAGATTCATCTGCAAGATGACAGATGGAGGAATTCACACTTTTTTGGTTGGTAATATGTTTTCTTTCCTACAAGACTGACTTCATTGGTAACAGTCTCTCTACCTACAGAAAGTTATCATTCAGAACAACAAAGTAAAGCACAAGAGATAAGAAAGGATTTATAAAGTTCAGGATATCTGGGACCTACCTCCATTAAGGAGAAAAAAAAAATAATTACTGGTGTTTATTGAAGGTACTAATAAGACATCAGTGGGTGGTCTTCTGAGCATTTTTTCCCAAGCCGCTTCATTTTGTCTCACACATTGCAGTCATGCGGCCGTTCAGAGAATTTCTTTAATTCTCACATACCCAGAAATCTCCTAAAAGGTATGTAATCCGTAACACCTAGGATAAAACCACCCTCAGGAAATAACCTATTTTTGCAAGTCCTGGGGCTTTTCCCTTCTAATTTCTTTATAATTACATCCCTGGATTTTAAAAAGTTCTGAGTTGCACAAACACCTGCCTCCCCAGAGTCATTTACTTTGGCAGTATTTCAGCAGTTTTCTTCATCAGGATCCATACGCTTGTAGTTAAATATTGACAAGTTTGCTGAACTGGAGAGAGGTATAAACCAGGCTGTGCAAAAAGCCTGGCGAGTCTAGGCAGCTTTCACTTGGGGAAGAGGGAGTGTTGTTGCAGCGGATAGTGGGGGTGTTTTAAAGAAAACCTGCACACGAGAGGAAGCAGCAGACCAGTACATAAGGATCAGTGCGACAAGCGTGCCAACGAGTCTGATTTGTGATGGCCACAAAGAATCTGGAAAGTCTGTTTAAATAATTAGTTGCTGCAGATTTCACTTATAGAAATGACGAGAAAATCTCAAGATGAAGAAGATAAACCAGTCTTACTTCAGCTGCTTTAAAAAGTCCTTTTAATAGTCAAAACATTTTAATCTTGGATGTATGGAAACATTTACATTCCAAGACACAGAATGGAGGCAATCAAATCCACAGTAGTTGGACAACAGGAAAGCCAAAGAAAAGAGAAAAGGGTATTTCTTTTTGTCAGCTGACTTTTCCACAGAACTGTCAGGCTTTATTGATCACAAAGAATGTCTTCCAATCAAACCTACAAATTATTTTCCCTATGGTATGAGATTTTAAAATACATAACTGTGTTCTCAATGCAAAAATATGTTGAATTTTCAGAGAAACAACTGGGTTTATCCCATCTATTCCCCTCTTTCCCACTAAGCAGCACCACATCTCTGCACAAACCAAGCAGAATTTACACGGAATGGGTTTGGCACACGCTGTCTTATACCCGGCAAAGCTTAAATTGGGGTTTGCTGGATAGTTATGTTTTCTCCTCACCAGAAGATGTTGAGGTCTGTGTGCATCAAAAGCGGAGGGATGCTGCTTCGATGATAGATGTCCCTGTGGATGAAGAGGATAATTCGGATGTACTGTAGCTGACTGAATGGACCGATGTTCAATTTCAAGTTCTTATTTCTCTGATGATGGATTCCAATGCACAGATACTTGAGACTGTCCTTTTTCTGAGAACTTCAGTGCTTGTCCAAGCAGATGACTGACAGAGGACGTATCTTTGCATGACAAATTGTTGAGAAGAGACTGTGGTGTGTGTTTTAGGGTCATTTCCTCTGTTAAATTCACATTCTAAAAATGTTTGGGTTTATTTCTCATTAGCTTTTAAGCAGCAGGTTTATCTTGAACAACCATCCTCCATTCAGTACAGCAGGTCTTTGGGCGCTCTGAAAGTATATTTAATGTACTCATCGTGTGGTGCTTTCTTTCCCCCCTGCCTATATCTACACTTGGGGTTGTTCTGCGCTAGCAATCTGGAAAAAAGTTCATCTTTAGAAAGGCTGGTTAGTTTGCTGCATTTCTGTCAGAGGAGAGCATGCCAGTCAGTTAAAAAAAAAAAAAAATAAAACATACACCACACACAAGTACTGATTTTTTTTTTTCCCCTACATAAGCAGGCAGAAGAAAAGCCCAAGTCTCCTTATCTCTTCTGTAATATACCAATTTAATGGTACGTCTACCTAAAGATTCCTATTCCCACTTCATTTTGCTTCTCTTTGACTATCTGCATCCCATATAAGCACAGTGATGTTACAGAAAGAAAACACAACTGTATTTTCAAATGACTAATAGCTACTTATTTTGTGTTTCAGTAAGACAGAAGCATCTTTTGTTAATACAAAAAAAAGAATGCTGTTGAAAATACAGACGTTCAAAAAGGTAAAAATAACAAAATATCCTGACACATTTAACATACTTTCAAAGTTTTACACGGAAGATAAAACATCTATAGTAAAAGTGCTAACATCGTAACACTCACCAACACATTTTTCAGCTAGTTCTCCTAAGAAAGGATCTGACAATTTGGGGTTCCAATCCCTGGTATGAATTTGTAAAATGTGCTTTCGTGCCTGATTTAAAAAAAAATAAAATTAAAAAAAACAGAAAAAAAAGATCAAAATTAGTAAGCCGTGATTTAAAAAAAAATAAAATTAAAAAAAAACAGAAGAAAAAGATCAAAATTAGTAAGCCAAATCCATGCAATAATATTTTAGACAAAAGTATTGTTTATTAATGTGAAGATGAAGTTATTTTACTTGTTATTGACATGTTGCTGAGATGCATAAAAGAGAGCTTAGCACTGAAAAGTCTCTCAAGATCAAAGGTTTTCCCTTCTTTTTTAATTTCATATATAAGTAGTATTTTTTTCAGTATACCAGTTACACATTAATTGCTGTTCAATCAACAATTGATCAAAACCCATGTTCTAGTAGGAATTAAAATAATTTTATAATTTTTAATTGCTGCACCTATGATTAACTGTTTCTACTGTCAAATGCCTCACAAACTTTATTGCTGAGTAGCATAGTACACACGCATGAATTCCAAAACTAAATTTAAAATTTTTAGAATCCAAAACCACCGATCAATATGCAAAGTAAATTTAAGTATAAATTCATGAAAGATTACAGCTGAGTTTATTGAAGTCTTGAACAAAGAACCGAAATTCTCCTGTTTCTAATATAATAACATCTGGCTTTGCATGCACAATTTTTATGTGCTTAGCAGTCTACATGATAATAAAGCGATTTTCTCTTACCATAATATCCAAAACCCCAATAGTTAGGGCTTGTTATACAAATCCATACAAAGCCACAGTTTTTAGATAAGCAACTCGGTTTAATGCAAACAATTTACCTCTGCTTTAATGACATTCTGAAGATCTGAAGTTCAAGGTAACTTTATGTATACTATCAATGTGTTTTTACTAAAAATGTCTTCCTAAAATTAAACATTCTTACCTGTAAGAATGTATATTGTAATTTCCTAAGTCTGGTTGTCAGGCATTCAAATGTTTAGTATACTAGAAACAATTCTTAATAAACATCCTTTTAAAGTTTTACCTTTTTATCAGGCAAGTTGAAAAGAAATTCCCTGTCAAAGCGACCAGGTCTCCTGAGTGCAGGATCTATAGAATCCAGTCTGTTTGTAGCACCAATTACAACTATTTCACCTCTATTATCCAGTCCATCCATGAGGGCAAGAAGAGTAGACACTATAGAGCTAAGAGAGAGTTTTTGA